CCGACTGAGCCCGATGGGGCTGAGGGGGGCCTGTCCCCCTCCCCCAGAGGAGAAGTGAGGGCACCTCCGACAGGGCTGGGTGCCCCACGCAGGGACCTCAGAAGGACCTTCGCTCCCCCGGCCCCTCGCCTGGTCTGCTGACCTGGGCTCGGCCACGTGAGGCCGAGCTCTCCGAAACGTGCCGGCGTCGGGGTCTGCGCCGACTGGCCGCTCCTCCCGCGTGAACGAAGTCTCCCGACCCTGCTGCGTCCGTCCGCACGGCACCCAGCACTCGGTGCGGGCGGCGCCACGCCGGGCGAGCAGAGGCCGCAGCCAGAAACCCCGCCAGCCCAGCCGAGGAGGCAAAAACAAACAGCCGTGTCGGGACAGCCGTGTCGGGTGACGGCACCGAGTCTGCCGGCTCCCCAGGCGTCTGCGGCTCAGGCGCGGCGTGACGACCAGGCGCCCTGACACGAGGGGAGGGCTGCCTGTCTCGGACTTGGCAGAAAAGGCAGCATCTCCAGGGCACCCGGGCTCCGGCTCCGAAGCACCTCCAGCCCTCCCCGCCCCCCCGGCCCTCTTGGTGCTTTGTCACTGAATGCTCGCTGACGCCTGGGGGGCTCACAGTCTGGGGCCCTTGCCTCTGAAAACCAAGATTTCCCAAGCTGATGGGGCCAGACGCTCTGAGCTGCCTGCCCAATACCACGCCACCCCAGCTGCGTTTGGCAGCTGAGGTGGCCCAGTGGCCCTCACCTTACCCGGCCCTTCTTGACCATGACACAAGACTGAAAACCCTCTGCAAGGTTCCACAAACACACGGGCTGAACGGAGGAGGGGCTGTCCCTCCCCTCTCCCAGCCCTGACTGTGGATGGGATGCTGGAGCAGCAGCAGCCACTTTGCCACTGAGAGGAGCAGGCTGGGCATGACAGCTCCGCTGGGGTGACGGTGGCCTGAGAGCAGGTCCCCGAGGGCACTGCTGAGCAGCCCAGCTGCCTCCCGACGCCTCCCACATGAGAGAAACCAACCCCGACGCGAGCCCGGTTCTCTGCCACTCCCGTCAAGAGCAGAATTCCAAAGCTCCCCCCAAAGATCCGCTCCTTCTGCAGCCCAGCTCAGGTCCCAGCTCCTCCAGTCTCCCAGACCCCAGAGCCTGGCCTCCCTGGTCCGAGTCCCCTTGGGGCAGCACCAGGCCCATGGGGTGTGGCCCCAGGCAGGCAAGCAGGGGAGAGAGTGGGACCACCCATCCTCAGAACCCGTGTTGGGACAGAATAGGGTGCCTGGCCTCACCCTCTGTATAGATTCCAATGGGTGGACACGGGGGTGGGGACAGGACCACCGGGGTCTCAGGCTGCCTCCATGACCCTTGACCTGAGGTCCTAGGAAGCAGGGTGAGGGACAGTGTGCCTGGCAAAGGCCTCAGGGTCCCCAGTGCAGGGTCCATGGAGCAGGTGCACCAGGAAGAGGGGGAGGTGCCAGCCCTGAGTGGCTCCCAGGTCATGAAGGGAAATGCCCCCACCGGCACCCCAGCCCCACTGACCTGTGGGAGCTCTGAGGTGGGCACTCGGCTCTCCCACACCTGTCCTGACGTGGGCACATCTGGGGACCCCGGGGGGGGGCCAGGCTGAGAGCAAACAGCCCACCCCCTGCAGGGTGTGGAGGCCCCTTGGCTGCAGAGCCCTGGAGGCTGTCCCCGGGGCCGCCCGTGGAGGGCGGGGGTGGGGTAGTGGCCCGGCCCCCCCCACACCGGGGGACTGCTGTCCAGCTCAGACGGGCACGGCCCAGCAGGGCCACCCCTGCCTGTAGGCCCGCAGGCCCCGTGCCCCTGGTCCCCGAACTGCGGCCTCCCCACTCCCTGGACGGCCAGCTCCCCGCAGGGCGTGACCGCACCGACCAGGCCACTGGGAGCCCCTGGCCAGCCCACAGCTCTCCTCCAACCTCCGCCGCCTTCTGTGCCTGTCCCAACCCCCGGGGCCCCCGGGGCCCCTGCCCATGCGGCATCCTCACGGCCTGCCCCTCCCGGAGCTGCCTCAGACGGACGTCCCGCCTCCGGGAAGCCCTCCCTTCCCCCTACGCAGCACGCAAGGGCCTGCCCAGGTTCTGGGCGCAGAACGTGCCCCACTGAGGCGGACGGCGGGACAGCCGACCCAAACCGGGTCTTCTGGGCAGAAATCGCCTGATTAGTGGCCACACGGCCGCGAGAACCTGGCGCCGGCCCCCACGCTCGCCCGGGGCAGACACAGCGCCAGGGCCAGGGGCCGCGTCCTGGCCTCGGGGAGAACAGTCTCTTCACGTCACACCCTCGGGGACTGAGCCGCGTGGCCGGGGGGCCGGCCCCAGCCCCAGGCCACCGCCGGCTCGGCCTCTGCTTCGCTCAGGACGGACTGAGATCCCGGCCTCTCGGGGCCCGTGGGCGGCACTGACCTCTCAAGGTCTCCAGCACATTCTCTCGGCGAGAAGCTGGCCACCGCCGACCTGTTCCTTCATGACTTGGCCCCAAGAGAACCCCACGTCCACCAGCCCTCGGGCCGACCCCAGCAGAGCCGTCGGGGGCGGGGGAGGGAGAGAGGGGGTCTCCTGAGTCGGAAGGACCCCGGGGAGCCCGGGCGGCCCGCAGCCAGCGTGGGCCCTGCGCCGCTGACACGCCCCCAGCCCGGCCCGTTCACCCCCGGCTGCAGAGACGCCGCCGGGCAAGGCTCTGGTGTCCGCCCCGGGGCCCAGAGACTGGGAGTCCTGCCATCACAGGGGAGCCGCTGTCCCTTCCTCCGTGGGCCCCCGCTGCCACCTGCCCTCAGAGGGGCTGCCGGGCTGTGACAGGCCGGGATGGCCGGGGAGCTGGCCCCTGCGCCCCTGCTAGCCACCCACGGCCACACCAGAGGCGCCTGGGCCCCAGAGCAGACGAGCCTCAGCAGGAGCAGGACAGCCCTGTGCATGCAGGGCCTGCGGCCTCACCTTTGTCCGTCCGTCCGTCTGCCTGCCCGTCTGATGCAGGTCCCCCCCCAGGCAGTCGGCCTCTGTCCCCAGCAAGGACCTCGCCGCAGGCCCGGGGCAGGGCCGCAGAGGAGGCCCTGGGGAGTGTGTCCTCTGCAGAGGGCCGGCCACCGCGGGCCGCTGAGCTGCGATGGCCTCAGGAGGCCGGGGCCTGACTCGGCCCGTCCCCAGCGCAGCTCCGGAGGCCTCCGGGCTCCCTCCCCCGCGCAGAGCCCCGGAGGGGCGCGTGGGTGGGCGCACGGAGCTCGTCTCTGGCTTCTGAGCCCGACGCTGCTCCCATTCCTGACACATCTGTGTCTGCCTGCCTCTCCCCGTCCCTCTGTCTGTCTCTGCGCCCGTGCGTCCTGCCCTCACACCTCACACCTGACACCTCCGGGCCGCTTCCTTGGGACCCGCAGCCCACACCGCCGGCTCTGCTGCCTGCTGGGCGCTGTCCTCCTCGGGCCTCGCTCTGGCCCCGCCGCCGCCCCTGCCTGGCTCCCTGGAGCCTGGCTGCCTCTGCCCTGTGTCTGTCTCCTGCCACCACTGTCTCGCAGGTGCTGAGGCAGGTCCGTTTCTGTCCTTTTCTGGGTCTGTTGGGGGGGGCTCACGTCCCCCACCTCCGTCCCCTTCCCCGTGCACCTCGGTTCACTTCCCGAGACCGTCTCCCAGGCCCTCCCCACAGGGTCCCCTGCACCCGGGGCTCCTGTCTGCCTCTCTGTCCATGTGTCCATGTGTCTGTGTGTGTCTGTCCCCCCACCTGTCTCCCTGCCACCCACGCCGACCCCGGGTGCCCGGCGAGAGGAAACCCAGGGCCGAAAGCAGGTCTCACCGGGGGTCAGGCACAGCCCCCACCTCAGGCAGGGCTGGGGCAGCGAACGTGGGGGGTCCCCCCACAGCCCGGGGCTCCCTGCGGGCCGCCCCTTTGTGGCTCCCCCACCTTCGAGAAGCTGCCCGGGCGTCGTCACCGCAGGAGCAGCTGGGGGCTGACACCAAACAAAGGGAGCGCAGGCTGGCAATTACCCGGCTAATTGCAGGCACGCAGACAGCCGGATCAGACAGCGCGGTGCTCCTGCAAGCCCACCTCGGGGCCTGAATTAGCCGCCTAATTAATTATCCCTAACTGCCTGGGGCGGGCGGGGAGGACCAGGGCGCCCTCCCGGCGGCGCCGGGGCCCTGCCTGTCTCCGAATCTCGTCCCGGTGACGTAATCATTATAATTAGACCCAACCTGCGGCCTCGCCTGGACCACGAAACCTCCCGGGTGTGGCCCCTGGCCAGGCCGAGTGCTGTCCACGCACTTTGTCCTGGAGACGGGGCCACACGGGGGCTGCGGCCGGGGCGCAGGGCCTCAGCGCCCACCTCCGGCAGGAGCCTCCAGCCCCCTGACAGGGGGGCCGCGCCAGGACGGCGGCCCGGTGTGACCTGTTGTGCAGCGCCTGACGGACGCCTGGCTGGGGACAGCAATGGGTGGGGTGTGGCCGGGGATGACGCCCAAGGAGGACCCTGGTCACGGCCGTCAAGTACCGGTCACAGGCTCCCATCTCAGCAGCTGCAGGGCCGGGCAGGGGTGGCCCCCGCCTGGGCTGAGCCTCAGGCCCCACCCTGCAGCCTCTGCACCAGCGTGGACCTCGGCGCACGGCCCGCCCACCTCCTGGGCCAGGGTCTCTGGCTACAAGGTACAGGACCCCCTTGTAACAGGCTGGCTGGGGGGTCCCGCCCTGAAAACACATGGGTCACGCTGCCTCGGGGTGGGGTGGGCGGCAGGCTCCAGGGGTCCCAGGCTGGGCCTCTTGCCCCCGGGCTCAGCCCACGGCGCCCACCCCAGGTCCAGCTCTGTCTCTGCCCGCCCCCCCCCCGGGGTTCCCCGCCTCCGCCGCAGCAGCCAGGGCTCGGCTCCCCTGTGGGCCCCGAAACCCACCCTGAGGAGTCCCCGCCAGGCCCAGTGGGGCACTGCGGCTCGCTCAGCCCTTGACCCCTGCGGCGCCCCGGCCCCGAGTGCGCAGTGGCCGCCACCAGCGGGCACAGCCTGCGCGCCCTGCCCCCGGCCCTACCTCCCAGGGCCTGCTTCATCACAAACTCCATGACGATGGCTTCGAGTCCTCAGCGGCTCCTCGGAGGGTCTGAGCTCACGCGCGAGGGTGGCCGAGTCCTGTGCCCGGAAGAGAGGAGAGGGTCACAGGCTGGCCCTGCCCACCAGCGTGCCTGCAAGGCTCCCTCCTCGCCCGCCGCCCGCCCCGGGGGGTGGTCTGGGGCCTGAGAAAGCACCGTTCCTTGGACTCCGGGCCCAGGAGGGTCCCTGCGGTGGGGGCGTCCACCCCACACCCTGCCCAGCACCAACAGACTCCAGGACCCCCACTGGGTCTGCACGGTGGCCTCACCCAGCCCCGGGGGCACAGCCCCGGGGTGCTCATCGCCTGGGGCAGGGCACGGCTCAGAGAAGCCAGCCTGCGACAAGCAGGGGCAGGGCCAGGGGCGTTTGAAGGTGACCGGCTCTGTTGCCTCCCTGGCAGGCCCTGGGCCACGGGGGCCAGGTCCAGCTAAGAAACAGGGTGCAGGTGGATGGGGCCCGAGTGGGTGCCCCTCAGGGAGGTCCTGGTGGGTGCTGGGGGTGTTGGGAGGCCCGGCTCCCTCCAGGGGAGATGTGGTGCCCACTGCAGACACTGGGGTGGGACAACCAGCGGGGCCCCACGGGGGGGCACCCCCCCAGCAGCATCTGCATAGGTGGGGCACTCCTGGGCCCCCGCCAGTGGGACGCTGGTGAGGAGGCGCTCCCGGTCAAAGCTGCATCTGCACCCCCCCGGGGCCCCTGTGGGGTCTCTCCTGGCAGGGACCCCAGGTCCCCACAGAGCCCCCGTTCTGTGGGTTCTCCTCTCCTTCCTCTGAAGGGGACCCGCGAGTGTGAGCGCTGGGCTGAGGGCTGGCCGGCGTGCCCCCCTCCCCGCAAAGCGCCGCTGCCGCAAAGCAGATTCTCTCCCAAACTTCTCCTTCTGCTCCTGGCTCAGAAGGAACCGCGGGCCCAGCTGCAGGGAAGCGGGGGTGAGGCCGCTGGAGCCCCCAGGAGCGCAGGCCGGGCTCCCGCCGCCGCTCCCCCAGGGCTTTGCGGCGGGCGAGTTGCCCGGCGCTGCGGAGCGGTCCTCCGGCGGGAGCGCGCCAGGAGAGAGGACGCAGCTGGCGGGGGACGCGGGAGGAGGGCGAGGGGAGCCGCGAGAGGCAGGGGACGCGGGGAAGGAGCCCGGAAGAGCGGGGCGCGGGCCGGGGCCGCTTCAGCACCGCGTCGGCGGACAGCGCCGGCCGGGCAGAGCGCGCGCGCGGCGGGGCCCGAGCCGTGCGGCCGGGCCGCGAGTGGGCTGCGCGCCGGGAGCCAGTTACCTTCCCGGGGCCGGGGCGCGGGCGGCGGGCGGACGGTCAGCGGCGGGGCGCGCTCGGGCCGGCCGGGTCCATGTGGCGCCCCAGGAACTGCGGCGGCGGCTGAAGGGCACGGCGAGGAGGGCGCGTCACACGGAGGCGCCCCCGCCCCCCGCCCGCTGCCGGTGACGAGGAGGGCGGGGCCGCGGGCGCCTGCGAGGGCGGGGGCGGGAGCCGCGCCCCCGTCGGCCTCCGGAACCTGCCCTCTCGGCCGGATTCGGAGGGTCCTGCGGCTCGAGCCCGCCGAGCCCGCCCGGCGCGGCCCGCAATCCGGAGGCCGTGCCCGCATCTGCGCCCCTCGGTGCGGTCCCGGGTGCGGAGCCGCCTTCCCGCTCGCTGGGGTCGCTTCGTGAGCGCGTGCAGGACCGACACGCGTGCAACCCCCGGGGGATAAGTCCTCCCTCGGGCCCAGCGGGAAGGTTGGGGGTCGCGCCCCCTTCCGCTCCGTCCGGGCGCGCGCGGGAAGGGGGTCCCGGGCGCGGGGGAGACAGTGGTCTCCGGGCCGCGCAGCCCTCGGGCGGGAGAACGGACGCCCCAGACCCTGAGCCGCCCCTGCCTGGCGGAGGGAGACCCGCAGACCGGCGGGGGCTCGTTTCTCAGTGGAACAGTGTCGCAGAGACACCCCCGTCCCCAAGCGGCCGGGCCCGCGGCGAGGAGGGAGCGTGAAGGTCGCGGCGGACGGGCCGCCCCGCCCCCGCCCGGGCCTCGGATCGCCGCTGCGGCGCGCGCTGCACTGCGGGGACCGCGGGGGCGCCGCAAGGTCGCGGCTCGGCCTCCTGCCCGCCGCCCCTCCTGGAGGGCGCGGTCCTCGCACAGGGTCGCCGTGCGGGCCCGGCCCCAGGGGCCCTGCCTCCCGGCACGGCCCGGGGCTCCCCTGGTGGCCACTTCGTCAACGCGTCCCCATCCCCGCGGGCTGAGTCATCAGGAGTCGCTGGGCCCGGGGTGGAAGCGGTGGACTCTGGAGACCCCTGCCCCTGACCGCCCCCCCCCGTCCACCGGGCGCCCCTCCTCCTGCCGACCCGGGACACTCAGCGAGCTCAGGAGGACGCGGCCAAGAGGCCTGTTGCCTGTCGCTGGGCGCCTGGCTGCGGCTCCCACTCCTCACTGACACCTGCAGGCCCCACGTGGCCGAAGTGGCCTGGTGGGCAGGGGAGGTGGGGGGGCACTTCCCACTCGGCCCCCACTTTGGCCAGTGTGGGTCCAGGACGCCCAGCTGCAGAGCCCCGCGCCCCAGGAGCTGGCCTCAGCACCGTCCACTCCTGCTCACCGGCCTGTTGCCTGGGTCTGGGCCAGGAGGCGCAGGGCCCGTGTGTGTGTGTGTGTCGGCGGGGGGTGCTGCCAGGAAGGGTGGGCCTGGGGGCAGGGCTGCAGGGAGCCCCCGCCCACCCCCCTGATCCGTGAGGACCATGCGTTTCACTTCTCTTTGGGGGGGGGGCTCCAGGCCTGGGGCAGACCTGCGGACAGGTGCTCTGCGCACAGGTGCTCTGTGGGCGGGCACCGGCTTCCAGGTGCTTGCGGGTTCCCAGCTCAGGGTCTGCTCAGCCTGGCCCCGCTGGGCTCCTTGCCCACCAGCCCTGGGGGGTGGCCCACAGCCGACACCCTGCCAGCAGCCCGACGGCGGCGGCCCCGGGCGCCCTCACAGCCACCTGCAGGGAGACACACGCCGCCCTGAGCGCGCCGGGTCGGGCAGGTGCGGCCCTCGCAGGCCCAGGGAGGTGCAGACCCACCGGGACAGAAGAGGGCTGGGCCCCGAGACCCCCAGAGTCCACACTCGCCCCGAGCCGGGGGCTGGAGTGATGGGCAGGGGCTCAGGCATCTAGGACAGCCCCTCCCTGCCTGTCTCTGCCTCCCTCGGTCCCCCTCTCCCCTCCCTCGGCGGGGTCGCCGGCTCGCTGGCCGTCCGTGCCGCTCTGTCCTGTCTGTCTCTGGCCCTCGCCGTGCACGGCGGGCCCTCAGCTCACATTTGCCCCGAGCGAGGGGTGGGTCGCCCACCAGGACTCAGACCCTCCCCAGGGGAACGGACCAGGGTGGGGACAGTTGGGTCAGAGGGAGTGGAGCTGGGGGTGGGGAGGAGGAAGGCCCCGCAGCAGCCGGGGAGGAGGAGGAGGAGGGCAGGAGGGGAGGCGGGACCTGAGCCGCCCGGGCCCTCCCCCCCCCCGCCGCCCCCGGCAGCAGGCCGGGGCACCCGGGGGACCCGGGTCCGGGCGAGCAGCCTCGGACCTGCAGGACGTCAGGAGACCCGGGGAGGGTTCGTGGGGCGTTCCCAGCAGCCAGGAAGGCTGAGCCGGGCGGCGGGTCAGCTGAAGAGCTGGGCGGCGGCTCGCAGGGCTCCTGGGAGTGGCCTCTGTCCGGGACAGCGCTGGGTGTGGAGGAGGTGGACAGTGACGGGAGGGGAGGGAGACGGCCGGAGCTGGACGAGGGGAGAGTGCCCCCCCAGGGGTCAGCCCAGCCCTGCTCTGGGTCCAGGTCGCCACCCCCAGAGTGGCCAGGACGCCCCTACACACGTGGACCTGGGCTGGAGGGGCGTGGCTGGTGCCGCCTGTGTGGCCCCACTGTGCACAGGCCCCTTGTCCCCCCTCTGTCGTCACTGCAGACGGCAGAGAGAGGGGGCAGCCAGCCCTGCTCCAGGCCCAACCCTGCCGGGCACCCCTCTGCTCCCTCCAGGAGCCTGGCTGGGGCCAGCTGTCCCTCCGTCCCCTGGCGCACCGGGGCTCACACAGAAACCTCAGAGGGAAACAGTAACTCAGGCAGCCGAGCGACCCGGCCCCTGTCACGGGCTCCCCCACGTCCCCACACTGCGGCTGGGGGGCGCTCTTGCTCAGGGGGCAGTGGCGGCCAGAAGCGGAGGAGCGGCTAGGAGCTGCCCTGGCCTGGGGCGCCCTGCAGGCCTGGGGCGCCGAGACGGGAGCCCGGCCAGACCTTCCCCCACCGCCACGGACGGGTGCGAGGCTCTCTGGGGGCCTGTGGCTCCGGTGCCCCCTGCTCCCCATCGGCTGCCGCCTGCAGCTGCTCCTCCGGGCCGGAGGGGAAGAGGGGGCGTCCCAGGGACCTGGAAGTGGAACCCAGTTTCCCGGGGCTGCCGGCTGGGGGCGTCGGCCTCAGGCAGGAGGTTCGAGGGGACGGTGGGGAGTGGGGCAGGGATGAGCAAAGCCCGGCCGGCAGCGGGCCCTGCCCCTCACTGCAGCCTGGGAGGCTGGCGGGCTGGCCCCCCGTGTCCGTGCCTCACACACCAGAGTCCCTCCACAGCAGCCACCAGCAGGGTGGCCCCGAGAAGAGAGGGTGTCCAGGCTGAGCAAAGGGCCCAGGGCGTCTCTGAGGCCTGGGCGGCACCTGGCCGCGTCTGCTGGCGTTTGGTGGTGGCCCACGCCCACGCCGACCTGGGGCTCTGGGCCCCTCTCTCTCTGGGCAGGTGGTCCCGCCCTCTGCCATGTGACCCCGCAGGGGAAGCTGCGGACCAGGTGCCCCTGTCCCCCTTGCCCCCCACCCCACCATGAGCTCTGCCCGCCCCCGCCAGCCTGGAGAGGAGGGGACCTCAGGAATCACACGTTGACGGGAGCAACGATGCAGGAAACAGACACAGGAGGTGCCAGAGGCTGGGGGAGCAGGTGCCGCCCCGGAGGGAGGGACCGGTGATGACTGACTGAGGCCGGCGGCTTTCGTGCCCCCGCCCAGACCGAGGCGGCCTCCTGGGTGGGGGCCTGGGGTGGGCCACGTGGGGTGGGGGCTGCTGCGCACCCCGAGGGGTCCCATACGGGACGGCAGAGGGGTCTGCCTTGAGCCAGGTCCTTCCACGGACAGTCAGCACCTGGCCCCAGCCACCAGGATGGCCTGGCCCCATCTGGAACCCATCCCTTGCCTTCCCCAGGCCTCAGGGGTCCAGCCCTCCAGCCCTCCCGCCTGTCCTGGGGGCCAAGGCCCTTCCCCAGCCCCAGGGGGCCAGTGGATGCAACCCCGGGTCAGGTGCCCCCGTGGGAAGCAGGCCCCCCCAAGTGCCTGGAGCCCCACCCACGTGTGTCCCCCCACCCCGGTCTACCTGGGCTCAGCGCTCGGCCCACCCCACACCCACCCCACACTCCTGTCAGGACGCAGGGCTCACCCCACTGCCCGAGGGCCCCTCTCCTGCCCCCGAGAGCCCCTTCCCTTCCCGCCCCCTCTCTGCTCCTGTGCCCCCACCTGCGGGTGCTCCTGTGAGGGGCCCCAGGGCTTTCGCAGCCCCCGCTGATGCTCTACTTGGAGCAGGGCTGTGAGTACACAGGTCAGGGCAAGAGACAGGAGCACGGGGGCTGCAGGGGCAGACTGGACGGCCTGGGGCTCCTCTGGGGGGTGTGCACCCTCGCGAGCAGGGCTACAGGGTGCTCCGGCCAGAGCAGGGCCCACCCACAGCAGCTCTCACACCCATGGGCGCCCAGCGCCGGTCCTGACGGGCACCCAGCAGGCGCGTGCTGGGTGGGTGCTCCTGCTCCATCTGACGGGCGGTACCAGCTGTGACAGGGGGTCCCTTTGCGGCAGCGAGTGCTCCCCAGCCCAGCCGTGCAGGGTGCACACTCTGCGGAGGAGCACCGGGCGCCAGGGCTCTGTTCTCAGGCTGCTGAGCCCCCCACACCACCCGAGGCCACCCTGTCCTCGCAGGGCCGGCCGCACGGCCCTGCTGGGCGACTGCCCACAGACGGTGCGCAGACACGAGGGCCAGACGCCCGAGTCCCGACACGGCGCCGGCGCCCAACCTGGCCGTGGCGCCTCCGTGGGGCCTGCACGGGTCCCAGCCGGGATGGACAGAACAGGACCCGGGTCCCCCAGACCTGCACCACGGTCCACGGCAGCCACGGGGCCGGCAGCCCCACGCCCCACCCGGCCACAGACCCCGTGCGTGTCCAGACGGCTGTGAGGCAGAGCCAGGTGCCCACCCATGAGCCCCGTGGGGAAGCCGTGTGAACCGCCAGCCGCAGGGACCCGTCCCGCTGAGGGAGAGCCAGGCGCCCCTCTCTGGCCGTGGGTGCCCGCGGCCTGGACCGAGAGGCGGCTGC